AGAACTTTGTCGTTATTTTCTTTCAATCTGAGATAAATGTTCTGTATATTTACAAGACACGAGAATTCATTTTCTTTGTGGTACTGTCGGTGCAGCTTTCGCAGCTTAGCCTTTACTTTTATAGGAATGAAATTCTTTATGTTTTGTCTTGGCCTCTCTTTACATTTAGAAAGAAGTTTATCAAAGCATATAGTTACATTCTGGTAAAAGGCTATTAGGATAGTGTCTAGGTTGCTACTAGAAAATAAAAGGTCCCAGTCTAAGCTTCTAATGAAGGAGTGAAATACATCCCACCTAGCTTTTCCGAAGCACATGAATGTCTTGCGCAGGGTAGAGCATTTTGATGAGTTAAGCTTGGTATCGAAGGCGCAGATTATTGTGTTGTGGTCACTACCAGGAAATGGTTGGCTGATGTCAATGGTGGATAAGGCAATGTCTTTCAAGAAAACCAAGTCCAGTATATTGTGGTTTCGGGTGGGCCTTAGAATACTTTGTGTCCACCCACATTACTCAACCGCATCTAAGAATTTGCTGTAGCGGGGAGGAGCACTGATGGGCTCCCATGAAACTTCAGGCACGTTAAAATCCCCTCCAATCACTTTATAAGTAAAGTTTAATTTCGAAGTGTAATGAAAGGCTGCAGTTATTTCACTTAGCAGTTCACTGTCATGGTAAGGTGGGCGATAGATGCAACATAATAACAGAGTTTGCTGTTTATTTATGTAGAGTGTCACCCATAATGTATCGCATATATTAAGGTTAGGGTCATCTAGTGCGCAGCTCTGCATTCAGATTTAACATAGATAATGCATCTTCCACCCCGCCCAACTGATCTTTTCTTCCTGAAAAATGAGTAGCCTTCGCAGTGAAAGAAATCATCATTTATTTCACTTGTGCACCAAGCTTCAGTTGAATAAGGTTGATGAATATTTGGGGTACGCCGTATTACTCGAGTAGTTTCCAAATTACTTCGCAGACAACGCTGTCGAAGGCCTTCTCAAAGTCTATAAAGTTGAGGTAGAGGTTTGATTGCCATTCCATGCTTTGTTCTGTGATGATGATACGTAGAGTTGCAATTTGGTCAGAACATGATTTGCCTTCCCTGAACCCAGCTTCTTCTGGTCGGAGTTCTGTATCCAGTGCATCCTTTATTCTCTCCAGGATGATGCGACTCAGAATTTTACTTGGTGTCGACAAGAGCATGATTCCTCGCCAGTTCTTGCAGAGTCCTAGGTCGCCCTTCTTTGGTAGTTTCAAGGGGTAACCTTTCCTCCAGTCAGTAGGCACCTTTCCCTCTTTCCAAAGCTTTTGCAATAATGGAGTCAGCATATCTGCTGTCGTCACTGGGTCCGCTTTCAGTGCTTCAGGGGGTATTCCATCTGGTCCAGCTGCTTTTCCAGCTTTCAGAAGCTTGATTGCATTCAAAACTTCAGCTTTCGTCGGAGGATTGGTGTCAACTTGCAGTTGTGTACGTGCTGTTGTTGGTATTTCTGGACGGGTTGTAGGTGGTGATCGGTTCAAGAGTCCTTTGAAGTGGTCCGCCCATTGTTTAATCTGTCTTTCTTCTTTGGTAATTGGGTTCCCTTGGCTGTCTTTTATAGGTTTCACTTGTGTTGATCTCTTCCCGGATAGAGACTTGGTTATCTGATATAGTGTCCTAAGGTCCCTCTTGCCTGCTGCCTTCTCAGCTTCAGTGGCCAGGTTGTCGTAGAATTGTCTTTTGTCCTTCCTGGCACTCTTCTTCACTTCTTTGTCCAGTGCTGTGTAAGTTGAGCTCAGCGTCTCTTTTTCTTGTCCATCTTTGCGTTGAATCATTTTCTTTTTCACCATTCTCCTCTCCTCTATTAGCTTCCAAGTGTCCTTTGAGAGCCATTCTTTGTCTTGTCTCTTCTTTCTTCCTAACACCGTCGAACACGTGTTGTTGAAAATCACCTTCAGAGAGTTCCAATGGTCTTCCAGTATTTATTATGCAATATAGCAATTATATCGGAGATAAATGCTGATGTTTTGAATGTAAAGTATGCAGATGAATTTACAGACTTTGCCAAGGAGCTAGTGAATATTTCAACATGGCCAAAAATAGCACTTACTATAGGTTATGCAACGCATGAGGACGATGCAGCCATGTATTACTTTAAACTATTTCCAATTTTACCAATAAGTAAGGTAAACCGTTATTCAGAAGTTTTCAGATGCCTTGATGTTGAATAATGGGATTTATCGGAATAGGCTAAATGAATTTTCTCCCATTTTTAACTTCAAATTTCTTCTCGATATGCCTTGATCTTCTTTTGTTTCAATACTGCAAGATGACCTCAATTTCACTATTGGCAAAACGAATCCATACCGTACTTGACCTTGACTTCTGTTGGAGTTCATGTTGTAGATTGTTTCTTCTCGTTATGATCCATTTTTAATATTAGGAGTAGTTGAGTTAACCTTGTTTTAAAGAGACTTTATTGTAGTTATTTTGGAACTGCTAAAATCAATGGTTCCCAGTCTATATTGGCTCAACATAAGCCTGAACACTGATATGTGATCGGTCTTATTTTTCTGCTGTAGAATGTGATTCAGGAAAATATATTTCATTTTCGGAATTCACGAACAAAGGAATGCCGAGTATTACACTACGAATTTACCCTTTTAGTAATGAAGATAAGCTTCTCGCGGATCCGTGCGAAGTTCTCAGAATCCACCACAGGTGTTAAAGTAATAATAGAAGTAGTTGGGTTGATTCACAGGTATCTGTTGGCCACTTTTTGTTCTGTTTGTGGCATTTTGTGGATGTTGGATACTTTAACTGCAAAATGCATAGTTGTATGGTCTGACGCATCAGTTTCACCAGTTTTGTCCTTTCTCTGTACTGAGTTGCAAAATGCCACCGTTGTTTTACATAAACTCTAGATGACTCTATCATTTTGTGTTACTCTTGATTATGCTATCGTGGAGCAGTGGGATTACTTAGTAAACATCATCACGGTGCCCTGACTATGTTTAATTGCACTAGATTTGCAGAGTATTTATTATACACATACATTACCTGATGTGTGCGTCAACAAACACTTTAAGCAAGGATGAAAGGTGGAATTTCGGATAATAATGTATAGACTGGTGGATTTCATCTGTGTGCATTCACATAAGTTATACATATTCTTGTTTTATTTCGAAATATTTGGAGTACTTATAGCAGTATCGCCTTAATAATCACTCAGATTTCAACAAGCCTATACACGCAGTTAAATTTGTGTTTATTTCGCCGTCGAAGTTTTTGTATACACTTTTACGTGTTATCTGATTACAAAGGCTTTAATGAGTGACTTGATTTGGGAGCAGACTACTTGGACTAATGAATCATTGATTTAGCCGTTGGCTACAAACGTTTGTCATCAATACACACCGGGCAATTCAGAATCAGATGACTTTTTGCCGTTTAAATCCTCACTCAGTATCAGTTGGTGTATTTCTCAAAATGCGTTCCTTAATATTAAGTGTTTTCTGCAGATTCTTTTGTGCTGTTTTCGGATCCATTTAAGTTATGAATACCTGTCCCAAATTTGACACTAGCACAAGGGCAAAATCAAAGTGCTACGACAAAATGAATGCGGAAATCAGCTTTTTCAAGGTTGCTTGTGGTAAATGCCTGGTGAACTCATTTCTGGACATAGTTGTTAGTTGCTCATCTTTAACAGTTATATGATGCAGATGTTCAAAAAGATGTCATTTTAAGGTTTTTGTTACTGTTCGTGTATTTCGATCTTTGGTTTTACTCTTAGAAGTTGTGTACATACGTATAAGCCGTATATGAAATGGCAGTTTCGTGATGATTATTAATTTTAGTTTATTGAGTTCAGGAAGATAGTCTTTTTTTAGCTAAGTGGTTATACGCAGTCATATTTGCGGAATTGTGACCCACGCCTACTTTAGGAGGTAAATACACTAAGTATTCAATTCTGTATACTCAAGGTTTGCACTATGAATCTCAGTAACATTACGAGTCAATTAGTGTACCGTAATTTCTGCGCCTAAGCTTATTAAAAGTGTAGCTTACTTAACGGAAAGTGTGCAGATAAACGTTGAACTATCAATCCATGATTCATCAATACGAAACAATCTAATAAATTTAAAGATAAGTAACTAATGCATGATGTCTGTAATGTTCGAGAAATACAAATGATAGTTTGCGCTATTCTGTTAGGTTTAAACATCTGTGATATCAGTAGTATTCACTACTATTTTTTGAGCAGACTAATTATAGTGATTATGTTGCTCAGGATAAATATTGTTGTCATGTTTATATGTGTTTAATTGACTCACCTTTAATACAAGATCTTGTGTTTTCACTAGAAAGCTCAACATTTAAGAGGTTCATTGAAGTTTGTCTTCCGTTCTGTCCACTCAGTCAAAAGGACACATATACACAGGTGGGTGTATAGTAGAAGTCCACGTAGATGTTTCAGGTCGACTGGCAGTAGGGTTGTAAAGTAGTCTCTTTGTTTTCGTGGTTGGTTTGATGTTGGCAGCTGCGAATTGAAGCTGTATGTTTCCTTATGTTTGAAGTTGGTGTCAACCAACAACAGGTGGTTATCCGAGTAACATCGAAATAAACCATCACAGTTGTCGGTTTATCAGAATGAAAGTTACTTAACTATTCACTTGTTTTGTTGTATCACAATATCAAAAGTATAAGGTTTTGTGCCTTTATATTCTTGGGAGTCGATTTGACGCTTAACCAGCAGACAAATCACCGGTCATAACAGCCACATATTAACGCTGGTTTTCTGGTGTCATGAGGGACGAATCTGCACTTGATTGCATGCATGTGCTTTTCCGAATTTAGCTTTGGCAACAGTTGATGTAATTGCAGTGAGATAATTTTTACTGAATCTTAAATAAGTCGAAAAGTTGTATCTTGTTTTAAAATGAATTTTATTTCACAGTGTTTATGTGTTTCTTAACACAGCTATAAATAATGTTTCTATTAAATTCTAGTGTTTCAAATCATGGCAGTTGTACAAAATGTTCACAATGTTGAATGGAAATTGGGTCGTTCAGATGATAATTCAGACTACAATGCTCATACGCTAAACAAGTAAGTCTTTTAAGTGCAGTACCAAAGAATTTGCCACTAATAATCTCTGTACATTCATTAAATCGAGTAAATAAACATCTTTTTAGTTCTGTTACTAGATTACTTTGATATGACGTAGTTGATGATGGGCAATAACCTTCACTCTGTTCGAAAAGTATTCGTATTACCTTAGCGTTTCGGTCTGCCTGGTTAGGTGTGGATTTTCAGTTAGTTCATTTGGGTTTTTTAATTCTGATTCACATACCGATATTCTGAAATTTGTGTGTTTTGAATTCAAGTGTTGCGTTTCAAACTACGAAGCCTTTGTAGCCAAATGGGACGAAATTTATATCCTAAATGTTTCCGCTGCTGTGCATTTTTCTTGGCGAGTGATATGGGTCATGGAAGGATGCATAGCATTTCTAGCTGTTTTTCGAAGACAACCGACTTAGTAACTACAGATAGTGTGCGTATTTCAGACTCAATCTCACTAGCGTGTGAAAGCTTTGATTACTATGGTCTGCTGTAGTTAGGCTGACCTCAAGAGCTGAATGTCACTTCGTGCGTTCGTTTTCGCAAGAGTCACAAGCAGCTGCTGTTCACGATTGAGTGGAATATTGCAAAGATAAACAACTTGTCAACGATGTATGACTAAATTTGCTTTACTAATTGGGGTACCAGGTGATCGGCGTCTTATGTTACTAGCTACCATAAGAGCTAATTTCATTTTAATTTACTCAAAAACGTAAATGTTTTAAATTCATGGTAGCAGAGCTAAGAGTATAACTGTTGAATTCCATTTACCTACTTATACAGCTTTTTATTTTTTTTACCACAGAATCCTGACACAGCTAAATTCGAAGCAAAATGTGATGTTTGACATTGTACTCGCACTTCCCGTAGTGCTGCCTGTTTACACTTGTTATTATTATTTTCTGATGTGGGAGTAGCTCTAAGAAATAGCATTAGAGCCCATGTTACTCGCTCAACAAAACTATCTTCATACCTCAGATAAAGTTCATGTTTCCCAAGTACCAGAATGATTTATAAGAAGCTATTACTAGGCAAATCAATTTCAGCAAAAGTTCTACAACTTCCTAGATAAATGAAGAAGTTCAAAAATGCAATAAATCCATTCTCGAACTTCAGACTCAGCATCTGGAATTAAATCTCCATTCTATGTTAAATTCTACATTCCTTTACTTTTTTAAAAATCTTTTTTCGGGTTATCAGTGACTGTGTTTTCATAGTTTTTAAATTGTCTGGAAAAATTCCGATGACTGTAAATGTATCTTTTACAGGGCGTCATCAGTTGCCAAGGTCCGATTTTCTTCACCTGAAGATTTTGTGCGTAAATCAGGTGGAGTGAGAATAATAGAGAAGGTTAGTTTATGTAAAGCTAAAGACATTTTTACACTATGTATTCTCATAAAGGCTCTTGTGCGCCACTGGTTTATTTCACATAGGGGCTTTTATTTTCTAGCTTTGACATTTCAGTTTCACCTTGTGAATTAAACACCTGTGCTTACATCTGTCGTTAACTTTAAAAGGTTAATTAAAGCAGCATAAAAGCAGAAATCGGGCACTATTGAATTTATTTTCTTCATGACATGTTATCAGTTGAAGCGAATCATAGTAAACCAGGAAGCGATAATTAGCAGTTCTACTCTAGTTTTTGAGACACGGATTCATCTAATTTATATAGCAGAGTCATGTGTTATTATATAAAAAACCTTACGTAAAATTGAGCCACGTAACAACATACTAAAGCTAGTAGAGAGGGTGTGGCGTTCCCTTACTGTGTTTTATTATTGGTGAGTTGAGAGGGGTTGTATTTCTTCGGCTCAAAGGTTTAGAGTTCAGAGTATGTGTGCTTTATGCCATGTAAATTTATATCGATGTTTTCGTTGTCTCATCAAAATGTAGTTGGACATAACAAACTAACTTAAGAACAAAGATTCCAAGGTTGTTTTATTTGATATGGTGAAATTCATTGTTCCCCTTCTAGATGAAAGAGATAGTGAGAAAGATCAGTGTAATGGAATCTTGTGGGGTAATGCATGCAACGTATCAGGGTTGCATATACATAAAAAGAAGTGAAAAGAAGTAGAATGATAATGCACTGTCAAACACCAATGCGAAAAGGAAAGAAACATTGATTAAGTAAAGATTATTATAGACTGTTTTTCAGTTAGAAAGGTAGAAAAATGGTAAATGAATACATTTTTCCCAATATTTGCTTTTTTGTTCTCAACCAAGTCATTAAGCATCTCCGACCATTTAGTTTTAAGACTGTAATTTATTTGTAAATGTAGTCCTTTTTTCAAAGTCAGCTGTTAATTTACATGCATGATCAATTCCTATTGTAGCTTGTTGATGCATCTAAGTGTGTCTGTGTTTTGTACTTCGATGACATCGTGTTGTCATCGTGCATTCTAGAACTGCAACTTATTAGGCAAATTGTTTTTCAATCACTTCGTATTCGATAGTTGGAGGCAATCAACAAGAAGCCTTGGACGTAAGTTTCGTGCTAGTTTGTGATCATCAGTCAACAAGGCGTATCTGCAACCTTGAAAGAACTCATATCCCTTCTGAGATTCGAACCCACGTCACTCATTGTTGCAGTCAGAGACGTTACCACTCGTGCCAAGTAAGTCCAAGACTTCGTGCCGATTGCCTCCAACCATCTAATACCAACAATTCATAGTACACCGTGATGGCGAGCCACCACGGCCACTTTACAAAATTGACTGGCAGAATTCAGTCTGAACCAAGGATAGAACTAAACACACTACACTAGTTGATGACTTCAGTCACTTCATTTTTGGGTTTTATTTCTCATATACATACCGACGGTAGGACAGTTTGTATGATGTTAATGTTTCTTGCAATAGATGTGGCTCACATCTTTTTGCATGGATTATTACTTTGCTAATGATATTTGATTGTCCTCTTGTATTCAGAAGATTTTCGATTGTGTCCAGGTAAATGTAACAATATGTGATCAAAAGAATGTACTCTAACCAAATACATGATGTGCACACACACTATTCTGTCTGTATTTTTTACTTCATTTAGAGGAGTTAGTATTCTTTGGTATGAGGAACCCAGAAATTACTGACTCTAGTCCTGTCGCACTCCAATAAGATTTGAAAGGTTGGCTTAAACTACTGATTTTTAAACAATATGGACACACAGCTCCTAGAGTAACTTGCTAGTAGTTACTGTCTTTCAGTCTTCTCATGACTAATTATGATTTTCAGATTGAGACAACTTGCCTGCCTATATACATGACGAATTTGTTATCATATTAGTGTTGCTGCTGTACTTCAACAAGACAATAAATCAGCAAGCCTCTTTCTGTGGAAAACCACTCAAGTATTCGTGTACATAGATACCTTTTTCTGCATGCAGCACTTTACATAAGGAGATTAAATCGACCCTGTTTACCCATCGAAGCCTATTCAGCAATTCAGAGATTAGAATAGTGTCGTATTTTTCACTTGAGTGAAGTAAAATAGGTACAGTTTAACAATGACCAGCTGACTAACAGGTTGTAAACAATTTAACGAAAGCGTAATATAACAGTAACAGAGTGGAAGATAAACTTTTTTAGAGGGTTGAATAAAAAATGATTCCATATTTGAGCGAATTGCTTTTGTGTTACAAAATGGCGATAACGAATTGTCGTGGCTTCCTCAATCTGTAAACAATTTTTTTATCATATGCATTTTGAAGATATTACCGTCTGCTTTGAAGGTGATAACACATTATTCTTGAATTGTATTCATTTCCTCCATGGACAGACAATTCGTTTTGATGGATTTTTGAATCGATTATTTTTGAAGTGAGTGATTCCTCCGGAACTGTTCTGAGCTGTGTTTTCCGTAATCAAAACTGAATTTTCACTGGTGGTATTTCCTTTCCTTTTGGAAATTCAAACTAGTAGCGAAATGCGAACCTGAATTTTGTCGACAGGATTTAAACATGAAGGGAGTTGCCGGTTCAGCGCTCCTGGCACAATCTACATAATTTGCTTTTGCTTCTATATATATACATATATATATATATAAACCTGTGGTCAGTTTCTTTTCTCTCTCTCTTTTTCACCTTCTAAAGATTCTTATCGCGAATAATGGTATTGCAGCAGTCAAGTGTATGCGTTCCCTACGGAAATGGTCGTACGCTACATTCGGTAGTTCAGATGTCCTACGTTTTGTATGCATGGCAACACCAGAAGATATACAAGCCAACGCAGAATACATTAAAATGGCTAATAAAATGGTTTTAGTCCCCGGCGGTTCAAATGTAAATAATTATGCAAATGTTGAACTAATTCTACAGACTGCTGTGACGAATAAAGTTGATGTAAGCTATACTTAAAAACTTTTCAAATATATATATATATATATATATATATGCATTTGGCAAGTTTACCCTAGAGTCATAGGTTCGAACACACTAGCGAAGTGCACTATAATATGATCCTACTTATTTATTTATCTTTGAATTCAGAGCCTGTGAATTAACATTTACAAGTCGGTTATCGCGAGTGCTTAACTCCACAGTGTTACAATGTGATTAATCACTCAAAGGTATATCTTTCAGGTGCGTTGAAACGTACTGTCCAGAGGAGTAAATTAGCTTATATTACAACACATATTGAAATGATAATAAATTTATACCCTAAGATAATTACTAGATAAAACTCTTTGGCACTTTGTTAACAACCTAAGGAGGACTAATACTCAGAGATCAGAACCAGCTTCACTGGATGCTGATTGATTCCAATGGTGGATTATCACACTAGTAACAGAGCTGCATTTCACTTGCGAGTACAAAGTGTTGAACGATTTCTATTGATCACATTTAAACTTCTTCGTTGTTTCAAGACGTGTAATACATATATAAACACTACTGGTCTTATTGTTCTCTATCGTTTTTGTATTGATTACCTTCATATATCATTTTTACGGTGTCTTTCTTCGCTTGATGTCCTGTCTCCATGTTTGTTAACTTCTATGAACTGTTTACTGTTTACTGGTCAGTAAGTATTAACACCATTCCCGCCATTGGCGCAATATAATACATGGCAGTGGATGTCAGAAGTATTAAAACTCAATTGTCGTCCGACTATTTGTTATTGTAAACAAGTAAACTGGGGTACATATATATATGCGCAGTTGTGTACATTTACCGAATCATTTAGTTTATTGTTTCGAATTTCGAATGACTTGATTTAAGAATTTTATTGTAGCGGAGTTTTTAAATGTATAAGCTCGTCTGTGTCTCTCTGGGTGTGTGCGTGTGTGTGTGTATTTGTTCGTCTGCGTGTACATTTTAACTACTAGTATAAATGTTTGTTTCTGTTGACGTAGGCAACATCATTTTATCATGTATACATGAATATCATGTTACGTAATGTGTATTTCTAAAACATTCAGTGTAATTTCACCATTTAATGACATAAGAAATTGGATCCATGTAAACAGAACGTGTGTGTGTGTGTGCGCTTTTCACCTGTCTTTCTGTCTCTTTCCCTCTCTCTCGCGCACGCGCTCTCTTTCTCCAACTACTTCACATGATGTTTTATTAAAGTCATACTTACGCTTAGTGATATTTTTAATCACCTTTCCAGAATTTTGTTGTTTCACTTCTAGACTTTTTCTGACGATTCGTTTTCCAACATCTGCTGATTGACAAAAAGTTGTGTTATTAATGCATTATGGTAACTGGAATGATGCTTTGTCTCATTGCACCGAAATGGGGTTGAAAAGATTCAGTGTATTCCATCCTACGTGGTTTACTTTCTCTTGATGATATCAGGACTCTTTAGGTACATTTAGTCTTACCTACTTTTGCAGAGTGTATGTAATAAGCCTCAAGCAGATGTTTCGTTTACCATGAGGCTTCACAAATGTTATCCTTTGAAGAAAGGTTGGTTTTCAAGGAGTAGAATGTTGGGGTGGGGGTCCCACCATACATTTCCCATATTGATTTCTCAACAACTAATCCTTAAACACATTTTTTCTTCCTACCCCTGAGTATGAAGACGATATAGTTTTCCTGTGCGATAATTTACGGGCTGCTTAGATCGCAATTAATCAGTTAGCTAACTCTTGATGTATAAATGTAATTTAAGCTCGAATAATCGAAGTTCGGGGTAGTTTATCAACACTGAAAGGAGTATTTGTTTGCAGTCATCTTTGAAAATACATCCTTGGAAGCAGTTGAAATGTCCAGGTATTTTCAAGCGTATTTATGGTTCAGATACTCAGTTGGGCACTTTGGAGTCCTATGCCATCGGACGGACGACGGTAGTTGTCTAGAACAGTTCTACTTGGATAATCATCTTTTTCTAGTCAACACTAATTTCATACACAAGGAGACACTGACAGATCACGTAGCTGTGAGCTATCGATGGAAACGGTCAGTAGACCATTACCACACCTCTGTAGACTCCAACCACGCACCAGTTCGTGCACATATGTGCTATAGCAATGTCTGATTTTGAAGAGATTGCCGGGAAAATATATCTCGCTAATTAAGGCACTGTACTCTCAAGACTACGGATAGTTATCATGTGAAGTGATGAAAACCAGTGGTGTCCATCAGGGATGTTCATCGTCCACATCTTTATTTAATTCCATCATATATGTACTCATGAATGTGGCCCTAGTTGACTTTAGTCACTCAAAGATTCATTGTTGCCAGGAGATTAAAAGTACACAGATGATATCGTCTTTCTAGGTGAAGATGCTGACAAAATGCTGAGTCTTCCCAACACGTTTGGCAGAAATTCTCGGATGTTTGGCTTGCGATTTGTTCCTGTTAAATGTAAGATGATCCTACAGGACTGGTCCGCACTAGCTCCTAGTTTAAACACGTAGGGAGTGAAGTGATAGAGGGCGTAGGCCACTTGCAAGTTGCATCAACCGTAATGGACTGATTGATGATGAAATCGCAGTCCTGATGCAAAAGGCTTATGTGACATTTGCTAGCTTGCGACATCTCTATCGTAAACGCGATATCTAGTTATCGCACAACAGTTCTCTTTGTCGTTCTTTACCACTGTAAGATTTGGTGGCTGTTAGTGGGACATATTGAGATGCTAACTGTCTTTGATCATAGTTGTCTGTTATAAGATTTGATAGTGTCGAAAATTCCCATATTATGAATTAAAAGTCAATCTGAACGAAGAATATTCTTTTCAATAATTTCTCTTCAGGTTCTTACAATTATAAAATATAATATTTGTTGTCGTTACAATAAGGCCAGTTATGCGGCAGATACATTTTTAACGTAGAATAACAGATTAGTTATGGGGTGTCAAAATAAATAGTCGTATTTGTGTGACAAACGTGCTAGGCTGAATTCGATTACAAAATAATGTAAAACGGGAGACAATGGTGATTAATCATAATAGATTTGTAGAGTGTGGGGTAGGAAAATTGACAAGTCAGTTCTATCTCCAGACCACTTTGTACTAGCCACTCACCTGACACCCTTTTATAACCTTGAACTGACTTGTCAATTTTCCTACCCCCACTCTACAAATCTATTATGATTAATCACCATTGTCTCCCGTTTTACATTATTTTGTAATCGAATTCAGCCTAGCACGTTTGTCACACAAATACGACTATTTATTTTGACACCCCATAACTAATCTGTTATTCTACGTTAAAAATGTATCTGCCGCATAACTGGCCTTATTGTAACGACAACAAATATTATATTTTATAATTGTAAGAACCTGAAGAGAAATTATTGAAAAGAATATTCTTCGTTCAGATTGACTTTTAATAGTTGTCTGTGTTCTATCCGTCGTGGCATAATATGGTAAGTGTTATTGATCTCAACAGTAGAGTGTTAGGTAAGGAGGTGCAACTGGATGGATTGAGATGGCATGGAGATGCCTTACACATGCCAAGCCACTGCCTTCCTCGTCGAGCAATGTCAAGTGGCATAGGGTTATGTTAAAGAAGAGTTAGAGGTAGTCAAATCGAAATGTATCATCAATCCATAAAGTCCTAGACTCTTGGATTGAGCCAAATTGGGAGGTGAAGACAGTCCGGTTAGGGTCCACGAAGTGCTAAGAACCAGTGTCTGGGAACGTTTGGCGACGTCGCTCCGCATACAGTTCTCCATATTTTCACTCTTTATAAAATCTCAGATTCACTGAATTCTCATTTTACTCTTTGCGAAAATCTTTCTCCTGTACATTTGCTTTCATTATAGTTTCGTTATATTTTTCTGTCCAGTTTTATGCACAACTTTGTGAAATATGTTTACTGGAACTGCTACACTTTCTTGCAAATTTGTATGATGAAAGCTCAGTCATACAGTGAGATAATTAATAGTATACATGAGAATTTACACCTTATAAGTGACCTAGTCTTCTCGGCGTTAGCTGTTTAGTTTGCCATGTCTGTCTGTTTTCGACATAGAACTTTGCACCTATATGCGGCAGTTCAAGTCACCACACTCCATGTAGCACACAAAGCAAGAGAAGAAAGTAGAAGAAATGCATAATAGAGACAGTAAACAGAGGTGTGAGACAAAGGATTAGTAATGACGAAGAACAATATAGTTTCATTGGAAATCAAAGGTCACAAGGAGTGGATGCATCTGCGCCACTGAGAACGATTTTGAGCCATGTCACCAATTGTTTCCAAACATTGGTTTTTACCGTCCCGAGGACCCCAACCAGGAAGCCAGTCCACACCTTCCTACGAGGCTTAGACTAACTGTTGTAGATTTCATTGACTGGTGCCATGTTTTGGTTTGACCGCCACTAGCTCTTTTCCAGCCTGACCCTATATCAGCTAACATTGCCCATCGGTCGAGGAAGGCGACGACTAGGCATACGTAACACATGTCCTAACCATCTCAGTCGATGGAATTTCACAGTCTCGTCTATTGATTTCCCCGCCTTACTTAGCACTCGACCAATGCCAAACCTCAATATTGCTCACCTTATCATACCACTTCACGCGGGAGATAGAACGCAGACACCTATGATCGAAGACAGCTAATCTTTTCATGTCTTCCCCTCTCAATGACCAGGTCTCACAGCTAGCCATAAAGGAGGAAGGAGCGAACTGTTGAGCAGTACACACGCCATGTACATAGCGGAGGGTTATATTGCATTGAATGATGGAATATTGAACTTAAGTGACTGTTGTCAAACGAAATAATGTAAACATTTTAGGCGTAGCTTTAACTATTGTCTATAGATAAGATAGTTTATACGTGTATGAGTGGTGGCTTCTTGCCTTAATGACAAAATAATCATTACACCTCTTTGTATTCGCATATTATTATTATTATTATGCATTAGTCGTCATCGTCCAGTTCTACTTTTTTTGTTTGTTTTTAGCCTTTACAAAAGTTTTTCCTTCCTTTCTTTCTTTCTTTCTGTCTTTAGACTAAATTCTATTTCAGTATATTGTAAAATATTTGTCTTTCTCATCTTCAGGCTGTATGGGCTGGATGGGGTCATGCTTCAGAAAATCCTCAGCTACCTGAAGTTCTTAGTAAACACAATATTGCATTTCTTGGTAAGTTGATTTAACGTACAATTAGTGTTGTTTACATTTTTTACATCAGTAAAATTAATTGCCTACTTGAAGTACATTCACTTCACATAATAGCGGCTAGGTAATTTAACAATAATAATACTAGTGCTAGTGATGATAATAATAATATTAATGATGACATCCATGTCAAATATGCATAGGATAATGACAACACGAACAATAGGGAATATAAATCATCAGTAGTACTTCCATACAAAGAAAGAACCTCGGAAACCTTGGGGAGAATTCTTAACAATGCAGACAGGAATAAAAGTGGCATTCAAATCCACAAACTCAATTAGAAATAAGCTTTGTCGGTTAAAGGATCCTGTGGAGCTAATTAAACAAAACAATTCTGCTTATCTAATACCCTGCTGGAATAACTGTGTGTCAGGTCAAATACATATGTCAGATTAGTAGAATGGGGTCAGTCAGTCAAACTAGCTGAACAGCACAAAAACTTAGCAAAATCTAGATTAGTTGACCCCAATAAGATAAGAAATCTGGAGGATAGTTCAGTTATAGCACTCACTACATGCAGTTACACATGACCATACAATAGGATGGGATAAGATGACAGTTTTAAAATTTAATGTAACACCAGGATGGAGGGAAAGATTGATGACGGAAGTTTTATGTATCGAATCAGCTGAAGAGAATACGTGTAATAGGAATGATTCAACACCTGTCCCAGATATCTGGAAAACTCTACTACCCCTATGACAAATAGGAGGGAACAAAGAAAACTATAGAACTCAAGTTTCGAAGTTGTGTGATTATTGTTGATATGATTATGAACAGTAAATTGTGTTCAAAACCTTGTCGTCCAGTACATAATACTGTTTCACTGTGTGATATATCTAATAAACAAATTAATGTGGAATTCAACGTATGATTTTTGCATTTCCACTAGCAAGCGATTTATCTGCGATTTGAAGTTACCTTAGCGATAAGGGTACTTTTTTACGTCGTGGGTTGACCACCTCTATGACCAACTATCTCTGTGTTCTGGGTTTTTGACCAGCGAGCAAACTAGGTGTTATTTCGCTGCCCAACTCCCTTATTCCATTCGTAACTCAGCCAGCGAATAATGATAATTATAATAAGACTGATTATCTTGGCTTCTACTAATTGCAGTAGCTGAGGGTCAAAAATTATAGGCCGGTCAATTCAGTGAAGCTACTTGCTTCGCCTTCCTACTTTAATACGCTTAGATTTAGAGTGAAAAGATGTGCGTAATGATAATGAACGGACTCCTGTGTATCTTGTCGGCTTAGGCTACTGATTTTTGTCTGGTAATCCCTGATTTAAAGTCTCGCAACTGAATAATATCTTACAGTGAGGATGGCTCGTGACTGCTTTCTACATATTTGGTGGAATGATTAATCCTCATTCCAAATTATATTACCTTTAGGACCTTCGCATCAAGCTATGTGGACACTTGGCGATAAGGTCGCTTCAACAATTCTCGCTCAAAGTGCCTGCGTACCAACTCTCCCTTGGAGTGGTTCTGGTAAGTATGTAGTAAGTATATTCTTACAGATTTCCTAATTACTTGTCTATTTTTGGTTTAGAAATGTATTTGAACTCTTCATTCGCCTAACCATTTTCTATATTAATAATTCAAAACATCATTGTTTTTAAGATTTAATTGTGTATTTTATTTCATGTATTATGTGTAATGGCATTCACTTCTATTTTTAGCATTCCAATGTGAATATTTTTAGTGACATCTTTTAGTTGCCTGGAAGTTGCACTGCCATCTCACATGCATTCTGAGCTGTCTATTAAGGTGTCTGTACTCGATATTCTTCCACTAACAGTCGGTAGTAATATGAAATCGCTAGTATTCAGCATTTGTGTCTAATGATAGTCACATCCGTCAAAGTAATTCCTCTGCCTACTTTTCATGATTGATTTGTGTAAAGATTTCTACGGTAATATAAAAGAAAAGGCTTTCAGCGAAGAGTTATTTTTTTCGGCGATATCATTCTCAAGCTGTACAGTCGCATATATATAAGTAGTGAATTTTCTTAGCAACAAAAGAAATATTTCCAAAGGTGTGTCATTAGAATTGCAAGTTTTCGATGACAAATTACGTAATGTAGAAAGCGCTAATCGGGTAGTAACTGAAATTAAATTAAATAAGTAAGATGAGTAACTTAATATAATTATTGACTGGGTTGAGTAAAATTCAACTAAAATTGAACGCGATTCAAGTTAACAAGAGTGGTAGTAAGGGTTAGAAATTTATTTGGGAGTGAGAGAAGAAAATAATACAGTTAAGAAACCAAAAATAAGAATTACGCACTTGATGTTAAGATAGATCGAGCCCACTGCATATTTAATGACATTGAACAGACTTCTTTTGCATACAGAGTTCAGGATTTAACATGTGAATCGTCATTGCTTCTGCGATTTGGAGAAGTTCGATTCGTACTCTTTTAGCGAGATTCCCACATATTCTGTAGATAACTGTGAAGTTTCTTTGTGGGTTAGCTTGGTGTCCAGATTCGATCAGATGTTCCAAGATAGAGCTGTTGTGCAGGGGGATCTTTTTCCTTTTTTATAAAACCATGACTGTGGATGGGTAAGTGTTCGGGGATAATACGCTTGGATAGCAAACGCTGGGTACAGCCGAAATACCTAGCTCCAGCCAAGCGGGTGAATTGGTAGATACACGTTGGTGAGGCCAACAGTGGTGGCTTATCCCTCACGTTCATGCGAATCATAGGTTTCGTAGAGAAAGTTATTCGAAGTTCACGCGCCAAGAAGGTTTTCTTCAGTTAGCAGCTGAATAGGCGGTTTCTCAGTATTTTTGCTGGTGAGTCTCCATTAAATTGTAGATTCAGGTAGATAAGTTTTTTGGGAGCAGAAAGTGTGGGCGGTTTTGGTGGTTCAGGTTTCATAGATTTCGTGAAGAAACGTTCTGGATAACCATTTCCGAGGAGGATTCTTTTCAGAGTTTTCAGCTTCTCTTCCATGGTGTCAGGCCTGCAAATTCTTCAGATTCTGTGGCTCAGTGAATGGATCAATTTTCGTTTCGTATATAGACAGAGACACCTAACTATGCGAGTTGTTGAGTTGTCCGATCCATGTTGGTTTTCTATAGATGGATCCTTTTAGTGTTCCATCGTGTTCTCGTCTTGTCAAGTTGCTACTACACTAATGTTTATAAAACACAAAGTGTTTCGCAAAGAAATAAAGGGAATGTTCGTTAGCGAATCGATTCTTGAAATGTTAACTACCAATAATGTTACTCTCATATCAATTTTTTGTTTTGTGTATTTCACTATTAAATGTTTTTTTGAAGTTCATTTTTTGCATTCAATGCTACACGTGTATGCGTTAAATACTGAGGCTTATAGATATAACTTATTGATTCAGCTATTCAGCCCCATGAAATATCCGACACCCTCTCCATCTGTTTCGGTTTGAACGACTGGTTAGTGTCGTCAATCATAGTACATTGCGTGTTGTGGTTAAGTTCTAACTAACTTCAGCTTATTAGATTAAGCATTTAACTTTTAAGTAGTAAGTTGTGATTTCGAATCCAGCTTCACTTCACTACATGGCTGTTGCAATACACATATATTATCGATAATCAAAATTACATGTCACCATACAACCAAGCATACATGATGTATATAACCACAGGCATGTAAATTTACTAAGGCAGTGAACCACACTTGTGGTAACTGATATAAGCGGATAGTGTGCGGGAGTTACTTCTGTAACGTTATAGTACTATAGAGTGGTGTGTGGGGACCCTCTCTATTTTATAGTTAGCACGTCCCATGTGTACCAATTTACTCATATTTTTTTGTTCTTAAGGTGTCTGACTTCCTCAGTTAAACATCTACATCTACAACAACTGACAGTGCTCTTTATTGAGATTTTCAGAACATACACACACTCGGAAGCAAATGAATTCTATGCCTGAGATTATATTTCACCAATGAAGGATGCATGTGAGAATCTCAAAGAGAATATCCATTTCACAGTAAGATCACAAATGCCTTATGCTAATGAATATCTTTCACTACGAAGTACAACTTTGTCGAGGGTACCTGAAAATTGTTCTATTTTTTCTTAACATATAGCAAGAGTAAAAACAAAACACCTAATGGATAAGTTTCAATTAGCTCTTATATCTTGTCATTATTTACTAATCACTCTTTTTGTGAATAAAGGAATGAATGTGCAGCATTATGCAGTATGTATTGTGCATTACTCCTACCATTCCGTGGGCCAAATCAACCAGTCAATTAATGCAATAGCAAAGTCAGAGATGAGCTGTGAACACTATCACTCGAATTAATCTGCCTGAAAGAACTTAGCTTCTCCTGCCTCTTAATTCATTACACCTCACTGTCTGATTGTTTTATAGATATAACTATACCACTTGACCGATTGGCTAATGGACAGTCGACTGCAAAACATTCAGAAGCTGATGATTCTATTCCACATATTATAAAGTCATCTGGTGGTTTCCCTCAAAGATCATCTATACCCACTAGTCCGATATCTGAAGAACTATATCGTTCTGGTTGTGTTGCAGACTTGACAAGTTGTCTGCAATGCGCTGAGAAAATTGGCTATCCAGTTATGATTAAAGCGTCTGGTGGTGGAGGGGGCAAAGGCATTCGAAAAGCAATGAACAGTACCGATGTTGAACGATTCTTTCCACAGGTTTGTAATGCTTTTTAAAGATGTCTGTAAAGCAGAGAAATAATTTTTACACGACTAAACAATTTGCATAAGTTATTATTAGATGTAGGCAAATGGCATTTCAAGGAAATAATAAGATAAACCAACCTTTTTTAATTCAAGCATTATGTAATTTGACCTACCATCCGTTGTTATACGTAGACTTTTAAGTCTCCAGCAATTTGGGGTTGTACTTTTTAAGTGAATTCTGTGTTCTTATTATGAAACTTAGTCCTCATATCCATGGAAATCTACTGGTTATCGTTGAAAAGTATCCTTGCCAATTCAGGTGTAACATGTGTTGCAGTGTTAAATTTGTCTTTCTACTTGGTAAACTTGCCACCTTCCTTGTACATTCATCTTCGTCACAAAGATGGCTAATTTGATGTAGTAACTGTATTGGTATTATCAATTGAATAATCAACTTGTTGACTGAAAGTTGTTTGGTGTATGATTGAGTAAAGTGATTTGTACTCATAAGACATCATAATTGGTCGTATATACAGCCTGATTAGTGAGTAGTCAAGGCGAATAATTAGTTTGAAATATTGTTTACATCGTCAAATTATCAAGAAAGACAATGAACACTAATCAAAATGCAACTAAGTCAGTGAAGCATAGTAAGTTTAAACTAAAGATTGCGTAATATGAAGGAGGGACTTTCAGAAATAGTGAATGTTAGTGAAAGAACATGGGGACAACCGGAATAGAGAAAAGCTTAAGCAACCGATGTTAATAAATGTCATACGTAAAATCCATAAAAAGCAATAATAACCAAAATATTGATGACAGCGGAGCCTGAAATTATACCCAAAGTGGAATGTGGGGTTGTAAATAAACCAGGGAGTGTTCCTTGAGTTTAAGCTCACTAATCTTCACACACCTTTAATTACGATTTGATTAGTCTTCACTGTTTTGGAACATTTTGATGAAGTAAACAACATTTCAAACTAATTTATTATTATTATGCTGTGTTTATCTGTAACAACAGAAGACAAGGGCCAGGCAACAGATCATTTATTAAGGAAAATCAACACATATTTAGAGATTTTAATGTACATTATTATAGATTATTGTTAGTAGAAAATACAGTCTTTTGATTGGTTGTTTCTCACCGGAAGTTAACCTTGCATCTCTTTGTGGCTGTGTCAGATCATCCATATGCTAACTGTATCCGCCCACGCGAAGCCTTTGTTCTCAATTTCTCACCACCAATATTGGAGACATAAACATTGACGTCAATTACTGTCTACCAACTTTGGCTAGCAGGCAGCTCTCACCACATATCTAGCTGAATCATGGTAATCGACAAATCACTTGTCGTTATCTTTTAGAGGAATTTTAGTCATTTTTTGTGCACCGGATCAAAATCATAGTAGTGTGAATACATTTCATTTACCTAATAACACACAGAAATTTTTAATCATGCATTATTTTACACAACGAATGGGATCAGTTTCCATTGACCTGTAAGAACATGTATCACGATGTTTGTGATTCTATTGGCTAGATGATGGTTAGCAGTAGCATCCAGGAGAATTACGGGTACCAGTAAGTCTCCGTTGATATTTGCTGGACAGGAGGTTGTTCCAATGACTCACTAGCCAAGTGAATAACGACTTGGACTGTGTAACAAGGGATGCTGGTTTCGAATCACAGCTCGGAAATGACCACTCATTGGAATGCAGATACTCCTTGCTTACAAGTCTCGAGAATTCCTGCCAAATGACATCAAATACGTATTCAATCAGTAGCATGGGTAAAGGTTACACAATAGCCAACACACTCTTATCATTAAATATAATTTTCTACGGCATTACATGATTATTGGGTTCCGAGTGCAACATAGGGCCTCAACAGTACAATTTTTACGGTACATTCCGAGTGCAACATAGGTCTTGAGTCTCGGAATTTCCAGTAACGATGTTGTTTTATATGTTGCGATTGCCTGCCTCTTGCCCAGCCTTCTAATATTTCCGGATTCGTTAGCCACTAGGCGCGAGGTTTATCTGTTCTCTAGTGGGTTGCATACTAACTACCACTGTGACATTTCGTTTTTTCTCATAGTTTTGTTCATTCCAGTCATTAAACTATCACGTCAGGGGTTAGTATATATGTTTATATATATCTGTGTTGTATCTACCTGAGCTACAAATCTTCTCTATTATTTTAATATATATAAATATATGGACATTAGTCACGTTGTGGACAATCTGTAGGTGTTCAAAATAATCACCAGGCAAAAGAAACCTGGCCTGCTACATTTTGCTTAGGTAACCACCATCAAGTGTCGTTAAACTTGTAAAACAAACTTGCACAGTATCCATTGCGTCATAAATTCTGTACTTCTGTTGCGTTTAAACATTTTTATTGCTTCACGTGGACATCACTCACCTTACTAATTTTCAAATTACTTCCATTTGATAATACCCGAGTTGTTGTTTGAACTCAGTTATCCGGAACAGACTTTTCATGTGCCAGACTAAGAGCCACACACTTCGAGAGAGATAGCTCAAAATGCTACCCAGTCGTCCAGGCTGAAGAAGGTCGAGTGAGACTGGAAATAGTAACCCATAGGCTGAAATTACATGTTAAAGCCAATAAACCACACATCCACTTAAGTGATGACTACTATTAGGTGAGAAAAGGAAAAGTAGCATTACATTTAATAATTGTGGTACTTAGTGCATCGGTGGTTCAACGTCAAAATGCTCACCGTGCCACGCACGTGGTTCAGGGTTCGACTCCCAGTGGACGCACTCCTAAACCTCACCTATCCTCTGGTGATCCTGGAAGAGGAATGGTTAGGCGTGAGACTAACGACTCTACCCCATAGAAACAACATCACTGCTACTGAGTTCAGTGAATCAAGCCTGCTGCCCTACGTTCCAGTGGAAACGAAATCGATAAAAACAAAAAGGCATTTCTTCAGTCTAATATCTCTACTGTTAAACTCTTATTTTAGGTGCAAACTGAAGTACCTGGTTCACCGATTTTTGTAATGAAATGTGCAAGTTCTGTCCGTCATCTAGAAGTTCAAATACTCGGTGATAATTATGGTCAGGCTATTAGTTTATTCGGTCGTGATTGTTCAGTTCAACGGAGGCATCAAAAAATCATTGAAGAGGCACCTGTTATTGTAGCACCAAAAGAAATTATTGAAAAAATGGAACAGGTATGCTTGCCGGTCTTTTTAGTTTCGCATGTACTTTTCTTCTGTATCAGTGTCATTCTAATTTTTTTTCATTTTCTGTTTTATTGTAGCTAAGTATAGTAAACTGAATGAATGCATGATTGATTTGTACATGTGTTTGATAGACATTTGTATTTATTTTTGGTAGTCGATATGTTTTACCTGTTCCAGCTATGACAGGTATAGGACTGGTCCTATTCAAGTAGGTAGTTACCTGGGGTTCCAGTGGGAAGTCGTGACCAGGTCGGGTGTGAGGACAAATACTCGCCAAAGACATCGGCTAGCGTTTGCGCTATATCGTGAATTGGCAGAAGTTAGAATTCATGGGCCATTGGATCGGGTCCCAGTGGCTTAATGGTCTACGGGCTCGCTAGCCTTGTAACCAGAAGGTCCTGGGTTCGAACCTCGGTGGGTACGTACTGATGAAGAGTCCCAAACTAGGACGAAACGGCTGTCCAGTACTCCCAGCTGGTTTTCCAATGGCTCTCTAACCAATGTCAGTTCATGATGAAATCCTGTAACCAAGGAAGGACATAGTTTAACTGGATCCTTGGCTTATCTATATAAACCGCGATCTTTCAACAACCAGATACCCCCAACTTCGAACTTTACTTATCCGGTATTGAGAATTAGGTGATGAGCACCAGGAGCCTTCAACGTACATATACATCGGTCGACATTATACGAATGACCGAGTGTTTAGCTATATGCCTTTGTGTTTTAACTGGGAGAGCACAGGATTAAGAATTTATCCCAATAAAAAATTGGATTTGCGGGTAGCGCATTCACTTATCGGTTTCATGTCATGCTTTGCTTACTTAGTAAAATATTATATCGTGAACAGTACTGGAGATCAATTAATTATTCGGACTTATAAGGTATTTATCGTTCTCACTGGAGTATTTATAAGTCCGAGAACTGTTGATAGCTGGAAAACGACGGATGTCTTCATTAACTGATGCCTTCGCTGATACATGCATGCACCCACAGTTTTGTGGTCTCTGTCAATCTTCTATATGTTAAATAAATCCATTGCAGATCAATCTGCTGTATGCTTACAAATAATTAACCTCTGAATGCATTTCTCATGGTTCTTGTGGAAGGATTTGATTTGAACAGTAAACCAAGTTAAATGTAAAAATGCTTACTTACTGATTACACTTAGTGATGTTTACGTTTTCTCATTAATTTATGAAATCTGGAAAATATAACTTCCCTCTGTTTCAACTCAAGGATAAAAGTGATCCCTTAACATTACCGACTTTGATCAAAAGTGCGGTTCTGAATCCTTACTGCTGAGTGGTTTTGATCGTTGTTAAAATATCCCTTCTGCACACATCCCATGGTGATACATACCAGTATGCTGTGTGATTAAATTCTGTTTTTTGTTTTCCCGCACTGATTCTTAGTTATTTATCAATTGTTTTACTCTCTACAGGCTGCCGTACGTCTTTCAAAATTAGTTGGTTATGTCAGTGCTGGAACAGTAGAATATTTGTATGATCCTACTTCTAACGAATTCTACTTTTTGGAATTAAATCCACGTCTTCAAGTTGAACATCCTTGTACTGAAGTAGTTGCTGAAGTCAATTTACCAGCCTGTCAGCTACAGGTATGTTACATGTATGCGTGTATACGTGTGTGAAAATGTTTTTTATTTATTAATTAGACAATAATTCAAACCAACAGTCGTTAAGCAGAAATCCTTATGTAAATACCCCATTCTACCAACCGCATCTCAGTTTATTTCAGGCAGTTTTACCAACCTTTCTTGTTATTTTATTTTTAGGAAACTAAAGGTGATATTTGTTTCATTCACTGGTTTTATTAATGTAAAAATATCTGATCATATAGAGTAGAAAAGAATTGGTCTTAACCAGGGCCTGATGAGTTTGGAAGTCACTTAAACTCGTACGTTGTTTGTGGGGCTTGCTAGTTATGCGTAGGTTCATTGAAAAGGGAAGCACCATTTTTAGACAGTGAGAATAGACACTTGGAGATGAAAGAGATTAGGTTACTTTGAACAGCTAACTTAATGCTTAACAGTTAACTACCTATCTGACTAAGCTGTATTGTAATTCAGTGATGCATAAAACGAATATATGATATCATTCTCCTGGCGTAGACATCTTGCATTATTTGTCTTCACTCAGATTTTTTCAAAGGTGGTTAGTTTTATTGAGCACTCTACTTCTAGGCATTGAGCTTCGGGCTAGAATCCAAGCTGCTTCCACCTGCTTCAGCTCTTGCAAATGGTATAATGTTACTGATCTTCACACGTAAAGTGTGGCTCCAAAGTCTTGCACATGAGATATATAGAGTTCTAATATCTTTGCACAGTGTTACAATGAATAATCAGCAGTTGAGTCGAAGTTATGCAGCATATAACTACTAAGCTTTCAGATTATTCGAAATCCTGGATGTGACTCTTTACTCCATTTTCTCATAGTGACGATCCTGATTTTACATAGCCATATTCACGAAAGCCGAAACGTATGATACATACGCTTATACAGTATCATCCTGTAAGAAACCAGGTGAAACGTTATAGTTCATTGGTTGGATTAGATAACTAACTGTTTTGCCACAGATTCAGTAATTGGTTGCGTACGATTGTCTGTTCGCCTTCTTCGTCGTCAGTCAAGAATAAAATGCATTAGACCGCAGTATGTGGTGAAGTAAATACTACTCTGGATCTCCGAAAACAAGTAGTCTGTGGTCCTCTTTAATATCGATCTGTTTATAGTTCATGACCTTACATTAGTAACTGTCTTTCTGATTTGAGAAGTTTTCAATAGCCCTGAAACACACAGACCGTATTAACGTCATTGTTTCTTTGCGTTCCAACTGGGGCGTAGAGCTTCATGCTCTCTAAGCTTTGAATTTCCAGTAGCGGTGGGGTAATGTTGTGTTTACAGGGTGGGTTCTCTAGCCTAATGTCTAACCTTTCCTCTTCTCCGGGCTTACTATAGGCTTGGCGAGGTTTCGGAATGTGTTAGCTTGGAATGGAACCAGGACCGTGTACGTGGCTGGCGAGCAACTCCTTATTGAACCACTGACCCATGTCGTTATTTCCTAACAAACACTACTTAGTTTCAAGATGGCACATACAAGAGTAGACTGAAATTACGTCAGTCAGTCGTGTACTTGATAATTAGATGAAGGTGATCTAAACACTTTCTACCGTTGCATTTGTTTTGTATTAAGTTTATCTGACCTACTGTGTTCTACATATTTTCAGTTCTAAAGGGTAACCGAAGTGAAGTTTTACTTTGACCTGTGTTATTTGCAAATGACGAGTTTCCTTTTATTTCATACTAGAGCCGAACGTTGTTCAGCTATCAATCAACGCATCACAAACAAGAATATCAACCTACCTAACCTCGTTAGCCTATCTAAAATATTCATGTCAATCTGTATTCAGTTACTAAGTAGCGCCATTTTGTGTACTAGTGTACTAGTTCAATTTTGGTTGACTGATATGTATTCAACTTCTTAGCTCTGATCAGCATAACTCGATGATGACTTTTTTCTCTGTTGTAGATTGCTATGGGTATTCCCCTACATCGCATTAAAGATATACGCGAGCTGTACCTTGTTTCTCCATGGTCTGAATCAAACATTGATTTTGATGATCCCAACATTAATCGACGACCGCCGAGTTGTTATGTAATAGCTGCTCGTATTACAAGTGAAGATCCTGATGAGGGTTTCAAACCTCGGCCTGGTGGTGTACGCGAGTTAAACTTTCGAAGTAATCAGTCTGTTTGGGGATATTTCAGTGTTGGAAGTGCTGGTGGCATTCATGAATTCGCTGATTCACAGTTCGGTCATATATTCTCAGCAGGTGAGAATAGAGAACATGCTAGAGAGTAAGTCTCTTTATACTTGAATATCTTCTTGCACTAACTGTTTAAGCATTGAAAGGAAAATGTTCATCGATTTCAAGTTAAGCGAATGAATAATATTGTTTGTGAATGTAGACGGATTAGTTTGTGTGCGCATGATAGCAGTATTTGCTATTCAAGTGATGTGAATATCCGAGGTCAAATTGCTGTATCCGAGACGCTTAATAATTTTTTTCGGTTTTATTGCATGGAGGATTCAATCATGAGCTGACATCAGTTAGAGAACCACTGGAAAACCTGGAAGTACTGGACAGCTGTTTCATCCTAGTTTTGGGACTCTTCAGTAGTACGCACCCACCGGGATAGGAACCCAGGACCTTCTGGTTACAAGGCGAGCGAGCTCGTAGACCATTAAGCCACCGGAACCCGATCCAATGGTCAGCCCATGAATTCATGACGTTTCACGACCACTTCGTAATGTCTTCTTCGATGAGTTACTGCCTCATCTTCAACCTGCTGCACCCTACTGGTCACGGCTTCCCACTAGAATTCCAGGTCACTGTCTGAATTTCAGCTCACGATGAAATGCTGCGACAAATAAAACAAAATCCCTACAAAATCCAATACTTGAAAATACGTTATGCGTTGTTCCAACGAATCACTGACTGAGGTGTCCACCACCTTAGTTTGTCCGTTAAATGGCCTGATCTCTTGTATTGTAGCTTCTTGAGTGTTTCCGAATTCCCAATCACACTTTAAGAGAAATTGTTATTGTTATTTTTCATTAATCATGGATTTCCAACTCACATGATCTTCTCTGTCACCTTCAGACGCCCAACTAGTTGCTTCCCAGTCACTTTACACTGAAGTGCTTCGTGTCTGGTGATTTTCTTCGCAGCGTGCATGCAATCCATCTCTGTTCTCTTCTGCATATTTGTTGGGAAATAACTTCTTGCTCGACTGGTGTGTTGTCATAGTTTCCTGCTACTTATACTTTCCGGCCGTTCATTTCATCTTCATTGTGGAGCGACGAAATCTTTTAATGAAATCCTGCAACAGCCTGTTGGAAACGCTTTCGATGACGTCTGGGCTAAAAGCATTGACTTGATATCAGTGTTTAGAATTCATTCATTGTTCTATGCACCGAATACTGTAATTCTTCACACTGATTTCGAAGTAATGGAGTCTAAACTTCCTTGACCCCATCCTGGTTGTCTTAGATATCCCCATCCGTGCCGCATGTAGTTGGAACGATGATGCCTAGGTGAGTAAGTGAAATAGATGATTTTTTTCTTAGATTCTTCTTATCAGTAGTTGTTGGTGTTTGTTGTCAGTAGTTGAGCATCCTCATCACCACCTCCTTCTTGTTCAGCTAAAGTCCTGTTTCCACCTCCTCTTCTTCCGCTTGTTAGTCTTCGAATTTGTGCGACATGAAGTATAAATCATCTGCGAAATCCAGATCCTCTAGGCTTTTTTATTGGTGCTATCTATGTCCGCCTTCTCAATCTCCTCAGCATTTTGCATGATACAGTCCACCGTAATCAGGAATATCATCGATAACAGTCTTACAATGCCTCTGCCTTGACTTCATAGTCCTCGGGGAGTTTTATGTTGTGAATCACTTACCATATGGCATCATCATATATCTGATGAATGAGATTTATTAGTGTTAGCTGTACTGTACTCCGTATTGTTGAAGCAGAGTTACTAAATTATTTCAATATACTAAATATTCCCATAGTAAAATTTAGAACAACACATTTAAGCGAACAATATTGTTTTCAATTAGATCTCATCAGGCTTAACTCTAATATATATAAGTTTACAAATAAAATTCAAATATAAACCAATCATGGTGTTTTTGTCTATAGGATAATACGATGGTGAATATAAACAGTTGTTTGTTTAATCATGCTGTTTTTCATTATTCGTGTTATCACAAATTGCCTCACTTTTTCATCCTTATTATTGATAAGAACATTCCTATTATTACTATAATTATTATTATCATTACTACTATTATGACTAAATTATTTACCTTTCTACTTAACTGTTGAAGGTTTTGTAAAAGTCAATGAAGTTGAGGAAAATAGCTGACTGCCATTCTAGTCTCTGTTCACTGATGGTGATATTTAGTGTCAAGATTCGGTCTGCACACGATTTGTTTTCCTTGATACCTACCTGTTCCTAGCTAAATCTTCTATCTGGATCATCTTTTCGTATATCCAGGATAATGCGGCTTAATATTTTGCTTGTGGTGCGCATAAGCTGATGCCTTAGACCCTTTGGCCCCTCCACCGACTTTAATAACGATGATTTAAGCTAATTGTACGCAGTAGGTTTCTTCGTTCATTTAGTCTTACTTGGTTTCAATTATTACGGGTTAATGCGTGCAGACTTATGTTTCTTAAATTTCGTTTTACTTTCATTTGTTTTTTTTCTTTCACTGTCATCTATCCTGTTTTTGTGATTTTTCGCCTCTTCTAGGAATATTGTTTTAGCCTTGAAAGAATTATCTATTCGTGGAGATTTTAGAACTACAGTTGAATATCTGATCAAGGTTATGGAATCGGAGGCGTTTATGAATCATAAAATTGATACAGATTGGTTGGATACACGTATCGCTCAAAATGACCAGGTGAATTTGGTTCCCTTTTTTTCTCCTTCGGGTTCTAGTCCTTGATTGTTCTGACACACACACACTTCACAACCTTTTTATTTACTCTCAAGAACACAAAAATAATTAGCTTCACATGTTGTTAAGGCTGTCAGCTGATGTTGATGATAATAACGATCGTGAGTCGAACACTTTTAAACATTCTTTGATGGTATGCCATACATATCAGTTCCAGTCTGGAAAGTAATCTGCTTATATGAATGAAGTAACCCGAAAGTTTTCTTTTTGTTCACCCCCCCCCCTCACCCTTATTCACACTTTCACACACTTTTCACCTCTGCTTAGGATAATATTAAATTATAGAAGTGAATTTCTAGAAATATTTACATTTGTCTGCTGCATGAATGTTGTTTAAGAGCTTTCCATAATCAACCAGATGAAATTAGAAGTTGTGTACATCTATTGTTAGGAAACAACGATAAAATCACTTCCTAAAAAAAACCCATCACACATGGTAGATCATTGAAAGCACTGAACATATGTTTCGTCCTATCTTAGGACTTTTCAGTACTGCGCATTCACGACAGTACTAGGCATCGAAACTCAGACATTCAGGTTACGAGACCAGGTTTGTTAACTTTTTAGTTATTAGGTCAGAATGAAATGACTCGTGAGTTCTAACTCTTGCGGCCTCAGTAGAGATGAAGCTGGATCCAAACCGTAACCAACTAACTGGTTGGCAGTCGAGCGTCTAGACCAGTGAACCACAGCTCTACAGATTGTAGCATAATGTCCAAGTTTTTTTTCTTTTAACAATTCAATGATCAGTTGATTAGTTAGTAGAACACAAATAGTATGGTTGATAAGCTGTACGCTGTCACAGAATCTTTCAAGATGTTTTCCCTGGGAACTCATCTTGATGCGACTTGTTGACGCCAAGTAAAATTCTGAGTCGCATCATCCTGGAGAGAGTAAAAGACGCACTGGATACAGAATTCCGACCAGAACAAGCTGGATTCAGGAAAGGCAAATCATGTTCTGACCAAATCGCAACTCTACGCATCATCATCGAACAAAGCATGGAATGGCAATCAAACCTCTACCTCAACTTTATAGACTTTGAGAAGGCCTTCGACAGCGTTGTCTGCGAAGTAATTTGGAAACTACTCGAGTACTACGACGTACCCCAAATATTCGTCAACCTTATTCAACGGCTGCACGACAACGGCACATGTCAAGTGATCCACAACGGAAAACTCAGCGAGGCGTTTGGAGTAAACACAGGAGTCAGACAAGGGTGCTTATTATCACCAATGATGTTCCTAATTGTGGTGGACTGGATTATGCGTCAGACAGTGGGAAACGAGAAGATAGGGATATCCTGGACCGACGTGAAGAACCTAGAAGACCTAGATTTCGCGCGTGGATGATTTATGTTTGATGTCACACAAAATCGAAGATTTACAAGCGAAAACCGACAAACTGGTCGAAGAGGCTGGCAGCAAAGACAGGACTGCAGGTGAACATAGACAAGACGGAGGTTATGAAAATAACCAATCAACAACAACAAACAACAGCAGCAACATCCAGCGCCAATCACCATCAACGGGAGGGATTTGAAAGAGGTTACTTCATTCACTCATCTAGGGAGCATTGTCTCAACCACAGGAGGAACGGATGAGGATTTCAAATCGAGAATCGGGAAGGCGAGAAACACATTCATCAACCTGATACCAATCTGGGAATCTTCTTCACTCAGCATCAACAACAAAATTCCGATTTTCAATACAAACATCAAGTCAGTTCTTCTATATAGATCAGATACTTGGCGGATCACAAAGAATATTTTCAACAGGTTGCAGACCTTTATCAACAACTGTCTTCACTGAATACTCAAGATCAGTTGGCCGGAAAGAATCACCAACAAGAAACTATGGGAACAAACAAAACAAGAGCCAATCGCTCAACAAATATGCAGGAGAAAGTGGAGATGGATCGGACACTCGCTGAGCTGAGTAGGCCGCTGGGTGACATCGCGCGTCAGGCCAGTGCTCGAGTGGAACCCGAAAGGGAAGCGGCGAGTGGGACGTCCAAGGGTGACATGGAGGAGGTCGTGTGAAGAAGAGTTGAAACAGTATGGATTAACATGGATGCAAGTGGAAAGTACAGCAGAAGACAGAGGCAAGTGAAGGCGTACAGTTGAAGCCCTATGTTCCACTAGGAACCCAAGAGAACAATAATAATAATACTCATCTTCATTAAAATGCGTGCACCTGATGGTGTAGTAAGAAGACGATTACTGTGTTAAGAAATTACAAAAGGAAATTCAATGCTTCTAATGTACAATATGTAATTTTCAACAGTTTAATTTTACAAGAGGAAATTTTCTCCTTCAAGAGTTATTATTCTGTTGGGTTTCGAGTGGAACATAGAGCTTCAGCACCACAAACGGCATTTCACTCTGTCTCCTGCATTAAGTTTTTCATAATTGCTTCTAGTTTTGCCTGAGGAGTTACAATGGTTTAGTTGTGAATAAACGCGGTATTCAGAGTCCGATTAGATGACTTTTTCCAATTTCTTGCATGATTTCAAACATCTGTGAACAACAATATCGAGTTGGCTTAGAGGGACACCGCCCGCCCTACCGACAATTTTTAGTTCCCTTAGCAATGTAACAAAGTCTTTTCTAAGTTTCCCAGAAAAAATTGAGGGGGAGTAATCAAGAAGAGGCTGAATAATTCTAGGTGCTCATCACTTCCTTATCTAGAAGGTTAGACACAATGTTTTCTCACGGGTCAACGGGATGACGGATGACCAGGGAAAGACACACAATCCAAGATACTTAACATCCGAATTAGTTTCAACTTCACTTCACTCCATATTACAAACATCATGGGGATGATGCAGTTCATGTAAATCTTGGTTATGTCTCAAAGTGAAATTAACAATCTGACATTTTCTGTAGTTTGGTTTCTAAGGGTTAGTTTTGTTTTTACGAGTTGATCACGCATTAATATCAATTAGAGAGAACCATTGAAAACCAACAGGGAGTACTGGACAGCTAGTTTCATCCTATTTTGGGAAGGTCCTGGGTGTTGGGTGCGTACTGCCGATGATTCCCAATCTGACATTTGTAGGCCCACTGGCTAATTTTTGTGATAAAAAAACTGAATGGAAAATAACCGGTATAGAAACAGTCTCAGATAACATCCTCAGTACACTTAACAAAATTGATTTCATTAGAATGTGTAAACTGACTACACTTTCTTCACTGCAATGTTAATGTTAAACACACACACAAATCATGCTGTGTAGAAAGTAAAAAAATAATTTTAAAGTCAAGCAAATGAGATCATTTAAGGTTTTAGAAAGTATGTAAATATAATGGAAGTACAATAAAAGAAAAGAAGAAGAGAAGATGAAAAAAGATGGAGTGACACTGCCTCTTTTTAATACGTGGAGAAAAGCTATGAGTGGATCGTTGCTTCAGGCACGCTCACACACACATACACACACACACAATGTTGATATCTGATATACTAAGCTATCGCCAATGCATATTGGTTGT